CTTCACTTTTTGAAGTCGATTAAAAGATATATCCGAGTAGTCTTGCAATTTCAAAAAGTCTAGGACAGGACGTGCATCAACATATGGCCTATGCAAAATCTACACAATATGACAAAAAGTCACTTATCTTAAACTTTTAGGTTAAATTAGAAAATAGAATATTGTATAGTCGTGTCCATTACTTGCCTGGAGTTTCAGTTTCTCAATATTGGGGGAGCTTCTGAACAAGAAAAGAACATAAGAGAGATCCTCTGATGAGTCTAAACATATATAGAATAAACTCAGAATTTTAAGGTGGACTAAAGTAGCTGGAAGCCTTGTTTGGACTTGACCTGCAGCCAAAATCTTGAAAGCGGATGGCAAAAGCATGATCAAATATAGTTAACTTGATGATTTCAAGGAAATTATATTTATAATCAACCATACCTTCATCATCTGATAGTCTATGCACAGTTGCTGAAGTGCGGGCAGGGAATCAAAAAACTCAATGAAGTCATATTTTCTATGAATGATAGAATTGTAACATATAGTAGTTAAGGAAGCAACTGAAACTATTGCAAGAAGTGGGGATTTCTTAAAATAAACATATGCACGGAAACATTTCAATTTAACGAGTTTTAGCTTAGGAGCATCAATTGTTAAGTGGTGAAAACCAGCTGGGACATGCAACACCAGTTGCTCCAGTTCTGGTGAGCTAGTTATCAAACTTCCTAATACTTCAGTATCAATGATGACATCAAGCAATTCCAGTGTAATCAGCCTATTTAAACCTTTGAAGCTTGGTGGAGGACTGATCGAACAAGAAGAAAGTTTCAAATGTTTTAATAGTGAACACATAGATAGTGAAGAAGGCAATTTGTACACTTCATTCTTGTTCATTTTCAAAGTGAATTCTTCTACACCTTTCTTCCATAAGATATATATCAAGTGGTCAATTTCAGAACCACCTCTGAGTTTTGGAATAAGGAGGCTCGACTTAGTTATGGATCTGATGCAGGGGAAGTTTATAGGAA